ACTGTGGTTTTACAGTTTAAAGTTAGCACACACGCTAACTTTAATTACAATAACATTACAAGTTACTCCTCACATGTATATTTGCCAATGGATGTTGGTTGTATGCAATTAGCCTATAAGACTAATGTAACAGTTGTGACAGCTAACCATGTTAGCAGCATCTTTGCACGGTTCAGTCTAACTTTCCTTCCAGTACATGCTTGGATACATTCCAGTACTCTAAACCTTATTTTGTTGAAGTTTGAATGTTTGATGTAATGAAAAAAAGTTTGCTACATTTGCCTCCAGAATTACAAAAGTTTGAATGTAAGAAGTCACTAAATGTAAAACGTAATAAGATTTGACCCTAAAAATTACAGAGAAAAATCTTTTTAAGGTTGTTAGTAATGGACATTAACTTTATAATAACTTTTGTAGCACTTTTGGTGGAAAAAATAATAAAATACTGTTTTAGAAAAATGTCTTTCTCTTCTGTAAAATTGGATTTTTTTTTACCAGTGCAGATCATGATGTTTTATGTCTTCATATTTATTTGATCAACTAACATCAATTTTTCAGCCAAGTGTACAAAATTATTACGATTTATTTTCAACTTCGTCCAGCTTATCCAACTCAAATTAAAAAATGGGAATGAAAGTAGATTGAATGGAAAACACACTGAGCTGTTCAGAAGTAGTTAATTCAATATGCAATTTTATATTTTGGAGATTATGATATTTATACGTTACTATTCAGCATATATCGAAAAAATGTGGGGTTTTTATTAAACGACAGGAATGAGGTGCAGGTGACCATCATCTCCCGGAAGAGGCATGATCGAGGGTCATTGCGAGCTTCATCACTGGCAGGCTATGACTGAACTGGACTACTTCAGATTGTATAATCAAGAACTGTGCAGAGGAAAGAAAGCAGTCATGAATAGAAAATAAATGCAGACTGATGGATTACAGAATTTAAGCAGTGAGTGATTAGAAAGCATTTCTGTCTAGATTCGGCGCTACAGATCTAGGAATCTCAACTGTGAATATCCTATGTTGGTTAAATGTAAAGTAATATATAGTGTAGGTAAAGGTCTGCTCAGCAGTTAGTGACCAACAAGTCGTGCGGCTAACTACGGTTCACGGCCAAAAATTCTTTTAGCCGGAGCAGAGTGTAGTCAAGAGCACGGATTGACGTGTGTGTAAAAGGAGTCTTAGCAGCAATATAAGCAAGATCTCTGTATCAAGGGTTTAATTACATTAACAACGATGTTGGAATAGGTGCAACATTCCACTTTGAACAGTCTCCATCATTTCTGTCTCCTCTTTTGAAATGTCACTCCTGCACGTGTTTCAGCTTCTTTTTCGTACACTTTTTCTCTTGTCCTTGTCTAAGATATAAGCGTGCACTTGCTTTCATTACCAGAAACTACCAGACCCTGAAAGCAAGCTAAATGCCAATTCAGCCATCTTTCATTTTATTTTTACATCTGGTCACATGTCAAAATGTCTCCAGGAAAAAATAAACCCACATAAATATAATTTCTCTTATGTTCGCGAACGAACTTTCCTCATGACACACTTCAGCCTAATAGGCTCAAAACCATAAGTTCTGATCTCTGCGGGCATATGCTGGGTTGACTACCTCCCTCCTAGATGGTTGCAGTTCAAGGTACTAGCGGTGAACATACGTGTAAAGTAGGAGGTTTCAAGTGTTAGCGCGTCGCAGGACCGAAGCAAGCTCCATCAGTTTTTTGCAAGGCGGGAGAGTCGCTACGGATGCATTAGAGCGATGGTCACATGACAAACAGAACAGCATCAGGCTCGCTCGTAGTGGATCCGTGTAGTCGACGTGTTTAATGATCCTATATAGTAAAGTTTATGGTACATCTTCTGGCCTTAATGTACACGACTTGTTCTTTCAATGCTCACCATATGGGATGCTTGAGAAGCAAATAGCACAGAAAGTATGTGATGAAAAACAGTACTGCTGTCAATACACCATTATGTTAGTAAACAGATAACATGTTGCCTAATAGTACCTCTATTTTATCTGAGTAATTATTCGCTGTTTACATATCTGTGTGTACGGTGTAGTGATGAGTAACCACTGATATCGATTTATAGAAACATTAACGTAATATTGTGAATTGTCCACAGACCGGTTGTGGTGGTAAAGTCAGCTGCAGTAGACAGTGGCTGGCAGTTTGCTAAGCAATTAGCTCCGGTGCTTGCGCGGCTACTAACGTTTGACAGTGACCACGTTGTAGCGTCGCCTCGGCAACATCGGTCCTCGACACACTCATCCGTGACAGTTAGGTTTGGTCAAACCATCTCCGCAGTTCCTGATTGGGTCAGCAAGATGACTGGGATTCTCTTCTGCTGATTTGTGCTGAATGAAGCAGAGAGCTCGACTCTGTCGAGCGTTTCTTTCCGGCTTACATGTTGGTAAAAAGAAAAAAGACGAATGGGAAAAAATGGTAATCCACAAAACGAACCATGTGCCTAGTCTAGAGCTCCGCGATACGGTAAACTCTGCAACCACAACAGACAACGTGTTTCTTTTTTAAG